CCAGAAACATATGGAGCAAAAAATCAAGGAAATTATTTCTGAAAAAGAGCAGACGCTCGAACTTCGCTTTGTCTTAAAATAACGCAGTGTAGAGCGTAAAAAAAAAGAAACAAAGATTGGAAGAAAAATGGAAAAAACTGTTTAGGAGAGGAAAAAAAATTATTTCCGGAAACAGCTTTGGAAAGACAAATAATGGATAGTGAAGCGAGGGCGGAAAAGTGGCAAACAGCAGAAATGACTGATCGCAACGAGGAAATTTAATTAATGCATGTTTTTTGGCGTATATTAGTTCCGAATGTACAAATTCACAGCACCCACCTCAAAATTTCCCTCACAAAAAATAATTAAGGGATTTGGAGCAACAACAACAACCATGTCCCACACAGTACGTGTGTTGGTGGTTCCATCTTCCAGAGTCGCTGTGATTTGAGTCCTGTAAAGATCCAACAAGGAACGGCATACTGGCTATTGAAATAGAACAAATCATCCAGGAAATTACTTTTTTTGGTACCAAGTCTCCAGGGGAAGGAAGGTGCAAGCGCGGATTTAACGCTCTTTGGCTTCCAAAGACTAAACCCTTCCCAAAAGAGCTCAGTCCCCCCCTCCCTCTCCCCCCCCCCCCCCCACCCCTTTCTCGTCTCCGCCCCCCTCCTCCATCCCATAATGAGATATCAGTTGATCAAATTAAATTCTCAAGATTATTTTTGCTATCAGAAAAAGCCACACTTTCAGGCACTTATTTTAGACCTAAGTTACCTACCATGATTTAACATTTTTTCAGAGAGATTTTACACCTAACTGGCTTAATTTTGTACTAGTTAAGATAAATTTTGTAGTTTTTCGTAGTTCGTATTCTTCTTTCCTAAAGTTTGGTATTCGCTATTTCAATTTTTCGCGTTTTCTTCCTCTCTAGTAGCAATTTTGGAATGTTATATATACTGGAAGCATGTCTGCAGATCAATTCCTGATACCACTGCTTTGATTTAAACTGCGAGTGAATCCACATTTACTGAGACAAAAAATCTGATGACTCCAAACTGTGGACTCTAGTACGATGTCTAAAAGGAAGTACAAACAAAAACAAAGGGAATCTTCATTAATTACATCGATAATTTTGTAAAATTTAATCCAACCTGGAAAAACTAGTAATTCATACAAATTTACTGAAAGTCGCACAAGGACAAAAATACATGAAAAGCTATAAGTCACCTGCTAAAATTGTTCATTTTAATTGGACGAAAAAGAAGCAGTTTTTAGGACATCAGAATACCAAGCCTTTATATAGTGAAAATGACCTTCAAAAATGACATATTTTCAAAACCCCTTCGAATGCTGGAAGAAATTAGCAGATGCAATCAAAAACAAGGCTTCTCTTGGCCGTCCTTCGGTCCTCATTCTTTCGTGATCATAAATTTTGGGGAAAATGGAGTTACTCTGTTTTTATTCTCAAACGAATTAGGCTTTGGCGGCATTTTAACCACCGCCTTCCTCCGGCTGAAAAATTAGCTCCAATAATACTGCGGAAGACTGTTTGATTTATTGAAAGTTATTCATAGTTTTACGACTCGAAGAATTCATCTGATTTTGACTTTTTTTATAATAAAACAAAGCAAAACATAAGCTCGCAGTCAGCGGTGTACCGAAGGCTTGCCAAAACGCTTCTGCAGGGAGAAGCAATCAGTCGGCAATCCTTTCTGGAAACAGAATGAGTGTTAGGATCGCCAGCAAACTGACTACCAGGCGATGCAGTATTGGTCAAAACAACTGGAGAAGTTGCCAGCTGCACAGTTGTCCGTGTCAACTGATCAAAAATGTGCAAAATATGGCTATTTTGATAGTGAACAAAATAAAAATAAAGCAATGCTTAAAAAAACAAAATCAACCTCAGTAACCTTCGCAAGGGAAAGCCATCGGAGAGCCCTGTAAGCAAATACCGATCTTGCTGCTTGCAAAGTGTTACTGCTCGAGCTACTTTCGGATGCCTCAGTCTTACATAGCGAGAGAAACAAGGCGAGGAATTTCACTTTTTAGCCCGCATTCAGGCATGCAAATTTAGCAAACAATTTGACAAAAATTAGCAAAAAATTTGTGAAAAATTTCAAATCTCTTCCATTAAAACTTATTCCAACGATAACCGAACGCAGCGAAAATACGGCAGCTACACAGTCTTTAATTAGAAAATTTCTTGTCATTAATAAAGACAATGAACTCAGAGGAGGAGAGGGAAAAAAGTAGCTTTCTTAAACAACCTCCTACCTCCTCTTCGTTTATTACTCTCCAGCTAAAAAATTAAGGAAAAAATTATCAGTTTAAAAGGATTTTCTAACAAACGTTCAGATT